ATGGACAAAGTGAGAGATTTAAATAATCCCAATAATACTGCCTTAATAACGGTTACGCCAGAGAATTTATAGAAAGAAATGTAGGATCATAAAGAGCAGATGTCAACTAGAATTTTATGAAAATAGGATTAGGAATCGGGCTGATGACTCAAAGAAATTGTGATAGTGAAGGGGTGGTACGAGGATATAGGATAGGTGGATACTCCAGGATAGAATGAGAGATGTCACAACTGTTTAGTAGACAATTGGCCAAAGGATCGACTTCACTTGTCTTTGACGGGTTGTGGTATGGTGCTAAGAATGGCAAAGCTCACTGAAGATGCCGGAGAAACGCCTGGGAATGTACCAAGTTCACGGTTCTACTAGAAATTACCATGAATGTTATGGACAAGGTGCGTTCCTCTAGGTCTTCCTGTCATTATGATCATGTTACTAAAACAAGGTCAAGCAACTATTGTACAACGAAAGGAGATCGCGACTATACAAGAGGCTACTCCATCTTGGTCTTCACACCTTCAAATAGGGGCATTTTAGCTACCAACATAGACAAAATATTTAGGTTCCCTATATGCCTAAGTTAGATGAAATTCATTCTGGGTGGGGTTTAAGAAGGGAAGGAAGTACAAGTAGCTTGATTGGTTTAGAGTCAATTATAGGTTTTCAGAATAAGTTCTCTTTTTAGCGCAATAGTTGATACTAATTATTTTAATAATGACGATGAATTTTGGCTGATTTTGAAATCCATTAGACTGCAGCTCGCTATCTATATTAAGGTATATTAAGGTCATTTTTAACTTTTCGAGTGGCAATTAAACTATACTGTGTGTCATACTTATTTTCTTGCTCCATTTTCTTAGGCATTGGTCTATCGTGTCATTCCAGAGACACCTGAAATCGAATCTTTCCTGGATGACTGTGTCAGTCGTGTCATAAGCATTGGAGTTGGTCCCGGGCCTGATGTTGCAGCCTTAGTTGCCTACTTGAGACTTCGGAAGACTTTTGTGTAAGCTATTCTATCTTTTCCAAAGTAAACATTGATTAGACTTGACGATTTAAAGGACTGTTATTAATTAACTTTAGTGGTTACTTGTTTTTAAATGGTTTGATTAGTTCTTTGTTTCCATTTCTTTTCATAAACCTTTATCATATATTATTTGAATACATTTTCTAGTATAACCTTATTTGGATTAAAAATAAAATTATCCATCCCAAGTGTTTATTGATTAGGTCTCTATTTGCTCAAATTTGTTGGCTTCAAGGCTCTTTTTACACTTTCATTAAGATCTTGGCTTTTTCTCTTGTTTTATGAACTTGATTGCCTCTTGTCTCCCTTTTTGAGTCTGGAATTTGCAATTGATTCATTACTTACTATTCTTCTTCTTTTTGCATTTGCTAAGTCGTCTCACATTTACACCAAATCTAATTTTGGCCAATATGATTAAAGAAACTCACTTTTGTGCAACATATTGCATCCACTTAAATCAGACTTTTTTACTATTTTCAGGCCTCATCATCATCATCGTGCTTTTGATCTTCCTATATTCGTTTGGATTTTTAATTTGCCATTACTTTATATGAGGAGAAGCTATGCTTGATGATAGATCGGTTTTGGTCTCACTCCATTGAGAAACCGAGACCTAGTGCTTAGCCATGGCCAAATCACAACAGGCCGTTGTTTTTATGCTGAGATCGAGAATGGCCATTAAATTCCACACGAAATCAAAGTCGGCTCGATGTTTATTCTTTCTAGCACATTTTTTATAACACTAATTTATTTAACCACAAAGCCTCTTGATATATTATCCTAGTACATCATGCCGTTATTCCACCCAATCCTCTTATAACTGCCTCTCAAACATGTTCAGCCCCGGAACCTCTAACCGCCTAGTATACTATGCAATTGACAAGTGTTCCGGCTGGTCAGTATATCTAGACGCATTTGATCGGGCCTGGTCGGCTGTGCATGGGGTCTCCGTATGGTTCCGCACTGCTCGTTTTGGTGAAGCAACCGATGTCGCCAAACTCCCTGATGCTGACCTCATCGTCTTCAGTTTTGCAAACACCACATTGATGAGCTCCACCGTTTGGCCTGCTCTGCAGGCGCGATATCGCATGATTTTTGTGTTGGACGGCATGAAGGAGGTGTGTTATTGGGGGAAAGATCGTTTGAATACTTGGTTGAATTGTGTCAATTTTGTCTCTAGGTTAGCTTGTTAAAAGTTGAGTATTAGGTCGTTATGCGAAAAGTATATTCGC